CAGGGGACTGCTTGAGTCCTTGGCTGGCGGTGCTCCCTGCAGCACTTCTGCCTTTGAAATGTAGCAAGAGCCAGCAAGGTTCTTGCTACATTTCAAAGGTGGAGATGTCCTTATTGACTAATGGATGCAAATTACATCGACTGTTCGATTAATTAATTGATCTAAATTTAACAACCTTACTGGGAAGGGTCTCTGTCCATTGTTCTGTGCCTAGATGGAGGGTCCCTTGTGGCAAAAGAGGAAGAGCTTAATAATCCATGGATATGGGGAGGAAAGCTGTGAACCTCTACTAACTGCATAGCAGCCAGAGCAGTGATGTTGAGCAAATTATTTTGGCTGTTTCCATTGCCATCTCTTCCTTTCTATTCCTTTAGCTGACGCTTCAGGTTCGATGACAAATTATAGCCACTGGGAGTCTCCGGGGGGAAATGATTCATTTGTCCTGTGTGCATGTTTCAATTAGCAGTCTGGGAACTGCACTGGTAACTCTGCCTATCTTGTTTTGCCTGCAGTGTTTCCATCTTAGAAACAACACAAGTTTCAGGCATTTCAGTAATCACTTCAGCAAAGCAAAACCATGCAAGTGTGAGAATACTCACTCGTTCAGCGTTAGAACTGTTTCTGGAGGTATCCTGGTTTTTGAAGGCTGCTCTTTGCTGCAAGTAAAGCTCGAGGACTCTTTCAAAAACGGCCTGTGCAGCTTCTGATAGGTGTTAGGTTGCAAAGGCAGGTCTCCTTTGATCTTTTCTGCTTTTGTCAGCTTCCTTCTGGCATTTAGAAGCTATGACCATGCAGGGGTTTCCTAGAATGGTGACGTGCTGGTCTCCATTCTTGTATGGGGCAAGGGAAAGCCCTAAAGCAAAATATTTCCAAGCAGCCTTTGCAGAATTCTGAGGTGTTCATGTTTCATTTTGGCTCTCGGTTTAGTAAACCAGAATCGAATCCTGTACCATTAAAATGGATTTCTTCAGGCTCTTGAATAGGAATGAAACCCAGCTATACCGCACTATTTGATGCTGAGTACAGTTGTCATTGCAGTTTGTGTGATTGTTGCTTCACCATTGGGCTAAAGACTTCGATTTTCTTTTGAAGCAAGTTGTAGATTTTAGAGCATGATTGTGTAGCAGTCTTAAAATGAACAATTATGCTGCAATTTGCATGTTTGCATTATATACGGGGCTCTGATTATTACTATTCATAAGCTCTTTGGTTCCTGTCCAGGCAGGAAATCCTTGCATGATGCAGAACTCCTCAGATTCATGTCTCTTATTCTTGTGAGCAAACAGGGGGAAGGGAAAGCCTCCTGCTGCTTTGGCTGATCAGTGGTGGTAAAACATTCTACCAAACAAATTGGAGTTTGGGACTTGAACTTGGCCTTTGCAGGAACTATGACACTTCCTGTTGCTCTCTGGCATTCCCTACAGCGGATGTAGGGGTAGTGTTGATGGGATCCACTGGTGCCTACCATCCTTCTTAGTCTGGGAGGAAGCTCTGATTGTTTTAAGGGAGGCTGGGGGTCCTGTGAGGGCCTTTGGGAAGTGTAGGGGCCTGCAAATTACCTTGCTTTCTGCAATGCTTGCAGAACCAGGTTCTCATCTCTTTCATTGCCCTCCATGCTCGCAAAAAATGGAGCATACAGGCAAAGTGCAGGGTTAGCATCCATGCTTCCAGACGCAGCGGCTGGGTCTAGTGATGACTACTGGTTTTGATGGTGTCCCTTTAAGTATGACTGAACACTTAAGATCTTTTCAGAATATAACTAAATACAGGTTGAAGGTCTAAAATCCATGACTCTCTGGACTGGCAACAGGCCACGGATATTGTAGGTTCAGGGGCTGAGCTGGTGGTAGGGAATGCAGCCCCGGAGGTAGCAGGGCGGGCAGGGCTGGGAGCAGCAGGCCTATGGCGGGAGCAGGGTCAACAGCCAGAAGGGGAGTCTTAACCTCCCCTGGTCTGGCAAACTCTGTGGTTTAGGACTGCTCAGGTCCCAAGGGTGTTGGACCAGGGAGGTACCACCTGTAGTTTGCATCTGAGCTGGCAGCCTGTAGACCAGGTTTCAGTGGGATTCATAGACTCGAAGGCCAGAAGGAACTATTGTGAAATAGTCTTACCTCTTGTATGATATAGGCCAGAGATCTTCCCAAATTCATTGCCAGAGTGGCTCTTTTAGGAAAAACTTCCAATCTCTATTTTAAAATTGCTAGTGATGAAGAATCCATCATGACCATCGGTAAATTGTTCCACACTCGCTGAAAGAAGTACATGAGCTCTGAGGGAAGACTGAAAGAATTGGGTTTGTTTAGTTTAAAAAAGAAAAGACAGAGGGGGACATGATAGCAGTTTTCAAGTATCTGAAAGGGTGCTACAAGGAGGAGGGAGAAAAATTGTTCTCCTTGGCTTCTGATTATAGGACAAGAAGCAATGGAAGGTTTAGGTTGGACATTAGGAAAAAATTCCTAATTATCAGGGTGGTTAAACACTGGAATTAAATTGCCTAGGGAGGTTGTGGAATCTCCATCACCAGATATATTTAAGAGCAGGTTGGATAGATGTCTGTCAGGGATGATCTAGATGGTGCTTGGTCCTGCCATGAGGGCAAGGGACTGGACTTGATGATTTCTCAAGGTCTCTTCCAGTTCTAGGATTTTATGATTCTATCTTATTTCCATTTTGAATTTCTCTTTCTTCAACTTCTAGCGTGAGATTGTCACACCTGTGTCTGCTAGATCGAAGAACCCAATATCAAATATTTTTTATGTGATCTTCCCGTGGAGAGCCCTCCCTTCCCCCACCCTCAAGATGAGCTTTATAATAGCAGTGCTCTGGCTAGGACAAAACAATAGACGCACTAGCAGATCTGCATATTCTGTACACCTGCTGGCTTGGTAGAGGGAGGGGCATCTCCTGCATTGCAGTTTCCCAGGGCTGTGAAGTTAATGCATTCTGTGGTGTATAGGACAGTGTCAACTAAAAACAGCACTTCTGCCTTTCTGTTTAAAAGGCCTCAAAATAGATTCACCTCCCAGAGCCTGTTTTTCAAAGTAATATGCTGTTGTAGGCAAAATAAACCTGTGTTTCCATTGGAATTCCCCAGTTATTGAGAGAGAAGTTGCACAGTAAATCCTGTGGCCTTTTGACCACTTTCCTTGGTTTAATCTGGGTTATGCAATGTCCGTAAAGGCAGAAAAGGGAACAAACTTCCTGGTGTTTGAGAGCAGCTGCCTTTGACTTTCTTCCCTTTGCTTCTGGGACTTTCTCTATCTTGGGTTTAATTCATGTTTCCTTGCTTAAAGAAGCTTCAACATGAAATCCTCTGTTTCAAAACATGAACTTTCAAAACATGAACTAGAAGTAATTTCAGGTGCTGTGCTTGCAGCTGAGTCCCCCTGTCCATTTTTGTGGCTTTACAATGGCATTTTCCTGTTTTAAGTTACTTTCTTTCTTGTTGTTGTTTGGGCTCTCACACTAAACAGGAGAAATGCCCTATAGTGGGAGAAGCAGTGAAACAGGCTAGACAGCAAGTGCTGTCAGATGTGCAGATTAAAATTGTTTACTCTTAGGCATTTCTGACTTTGCTTATAACAATAGTTGGTAAGTTTTCTGACAGGAGTATGATATTTAAGTCAGTGTCCCTTTAACAGGGCAGGAATGAGAACGCCCACTCTTTGTGCTAAACTCATAGTGAAAATGCTGTGTAGAACGTGTTTATAAGTTTGCCTCCTTTGCACTGTTACAGCCCATCTGTCACTGATCTGTGCAACTCAGGCTATGTCTGCAGATATGCTGCAGTAATGTAGATGCTTCAGCAAGGGAAGGGGTTTTTCCATCACTCTAGTAAATTCCCCACCCTCACCTCCCTGAAAGGTAGCAGTGAAATTGAAAGAAGAATTCTTCCATTGACCTCTGATGGTACCTATGCACTGGGATTAGATCAGTTAAACTACCACTCTCGGGGATGTACATTTTCCATACCCCTGCATGACCTAACTAGGTCAGCCTAAATTAAGTGTAGACGAGCCTTAAACAAATGTTCTTTGGAGTCTTGGCTCCTAGTGCTAAGTCCTTTGGCATTGTAAGAAAATATTAAAAACGAAAGATGACTAAGTACAGTGTTGTATAGCCTTTTAAACAAGTTCCAGTTACAGAGAGTATTGTAACATTGCATCTTACCTGACCTCAAAGAAGATTTGACTATTGTTGTCTCAAATATGGTTGCATACACATTCATTTAGGTTCAACTGCAGTTTATTATTAAAATACTTTTAGAGCTTAGTAAAACAGTACAAATTGTATTATACAATATTAAACCTCAAATATTTGTAATGATTGTTTTTAATACACTAGCTGCCTGACTAAATCCTAATTGCAATCCTTATTTGAGCATGACTTTGAGGTATGACCAGATTAACTGTAAGCAATCTTTAATTTTAGTGAAATTATTTTTGTCACTGATTTGCTTTGCTCTTTCAAAGAAAAGTCCTTGTGCATCCAGGATTCAATAAGACCTTAGTGTATCAAACTTTGTCCTTTGCATTTCAGTTTCTGCAGACTTGGTGCATCTTAACCCTTTCATAGCAATACAAAAATTAGTTGCCAGCGATGAATTCCTTTCTTTCTTTACATCCATGAAGTCTTATTAATTTTTATTTAAGTAAAAGCGCAAGTCAGGCATCATTTTAAAAACCGTCCAGGAAGGTTTATTCTACATAAAATTATGATAGATTTTACTGAGTTGTAAATGTTCCAACTTTCACCACAAAATATCATTAAAAAGATCCTTGAGGCAAGTACTTGTCTTTTGTTTGTACAGTGCCATGCACACAGGTAACCCTCGAGTAACAGAGCCTCAGTTGCCCTTCTAGCTCTTGTCCACAAGCAGAAGCTTAGAGGAGGATCTGGAGGCTATTCTAAGACAAACAAAACATAGATGTTGCAAATTACAGAAGTGTCTTTTGTATCTACCACGTAATCACTCATACACCTGATGCTGTGGTTTTCGAATCATCTCCTTTTACATTTACAGAGTCCCTGACCTTTCGACTATCCAGCTTTCTCCAGGGTGATGCCTGTTGTTTCCTGAGGCATTGGAAAACCTAGTTTGGAAGAAGAATCAAGATATGGTTGATGCTGAACTACAACGTGAGTCCTCAGATTGCTTTGTTTACGATAATGTCATGTACCACTGAGACCTAATGAATACACACTCAGCAGCACCAGTTGTTGCAGCATATGTATTAGTTGAGGCTTTCCTCAGTGAAATTTTGTTTGTGCGTATTTCCATCGACTTGGTGAAAGTCAGTGATACAGCTTGAACAGGACTAAGACCCAGACCTTAACCACTGAAGTGCACAGGCATAATAACTTAATTCCATTCATTTCAGTTAATACTTAATTTGAAGGGAAAACTATATATACATATATAGCGTGTGTGTCCATAATGGGGCAGTAGACAAATATTTTGTGTGTGTGTGAGAGAGAATTAATCTAAACCTGCAGATTGATTTCATATACACATTCCACTTCCTCCTATAAAACTACTTGCTCTGCTGGGCACAGTGGTAAGTGCTTTTTTATAAATTGATGCGGTGGTATGATGAGTCAGCAGTCAGTGAAAAGTTCATGCCCTCAGAGGTGTGAACTTCCCACTCTAACCAGTTGGGGCTGGAGATTGGGGAGAATATCTGTTTTAAAAGGTGAGAGAGTTGTTAAACAAGTACTGAAAGCACCCTTCATTGAATCTTTGCAAGGGAATTTGTTTTGGCTAGGGGAGATAGGGACTTCTCCAGGCCATGCTGTGGGTGTGGGTGTGTCCTTCCTTTTTTGAACTGCTTTAAAAAAGTTAGAATGAATACAGTTGACCAGTTTGGAGTTGAGGGATTTTCTTTAAAATAGCTCCTCAGCCAGGGAGGAGATGTGGGTGGGAAGAGGAACTCTGGAGATTGGTGCTTGGTCCAGTGACTGCTGTAAGCTGTGCGCTTGTGCAGCTACTCAGGAAATATTCTAATGCCCAGCCCCAGCTGATGAGCAGTGCGCCCACAGCTCATGTTGCACTTCTTCTGATGGTGCATATTTATACATGCCTTGGTGCACATAACAAAATTTATTCCACACATGAATGGAAAAAATCTGCACATAAATGGAAAAGATTAGAGGGAACATTACCACTAAGTGCAGAACATAACAATGACAATAGTTTCATAGTCTAGAATATCTCTGCATTAAGTGAATAAGGAGACGATAACACGCTTCAGAGCCTACTCCAGGGACGTGTAGAGTGATCCATGCCGATGGTCTGTCTATGTACAATGATGTTAGCTGCACATTTGGATGCATGCAAGACATTCCTGTCATGGACAAGTGTTTTCCTGCATAGCAGTTGGGTGGGGGAGCTCACATCAAGGATTTTCATGAGGAATTTGTCCACTGCCAAATATCTTTTGAGATTGGGGGAGAAGGGTGGTGTGTTTCTTACCACGGAAATGCGAGACAGTGGTTTTACACCGTAGACTGAAAGTGCCTGCATTTTACTCAGTGCATCTGGATGAACATCCTGAAGGGATTAAAGAGTATAGATTAGGCCAGCGATTCTCAAACCGTGGGTCGGGACTCCTGAGTGGGTTGCAACCTCAGTTTAATGGGCTCATCAGGGCTGATTTACATGTGCGTGGACCCCTTACGCTTCCACCCCCGGGGCTCAAGCAGGCTCAGGTTTTGGTCTCCCCTCCTCTAAGGTCATGTGGTATTTTGTGTTGTCAGGAGGGGCTCACTGTGCAATGAAGTTTGAGTGCCTTTTGATTAGGCCATAGGGTGAACAGGGACAAAGAGGATAATTTTAGTTTATATATAATCTCAATCTCTCTCTCTCTCTCATATTTACAAATAAATTGTAAATTAAGGATGAATTAGCTAACAGAGATTTGTGGATCTTTCATGCGCACTCTCTCCCCAATCCTCTGAATCAGTTCAACCATATGATCAGTTTTATTCCTCTGAGTGCTGAGAACTGTAAAGTCTCTTGTGCTTCTCAATGGCTGGCCATCGTAATTAAAGCGTAAGTGTGTGAATAAAATCCTAGGGTCTCATGAATTGTTTTCGGGGGTTTTGGGAGGAACAGAGGCAGTTTGTTCTGAAGCTTTTTCGAATGTGTTCATTCATGTACTTCATCCTGTCATTAAAGTCTTAATTATTTGTATCTCTCTCCCCTAATTCTCCTCCCCCCGCACCCCTCTACATGGGTCAGATAACTGATCATCTAGGAACATTGCACTATTATGAAGCTAACTTGTTTCTTGTATCTTCCTGAAATGCATGAAGCCAGTAGCTCCCAATGTAATCCACTAGTAAGCAAGCCACTGCTTTTTGTTAGCAGAAACTGCCGTCTGCTATACAAATAGGTGGAGGTGCCATGCATCATCAAGTAAAAGGTTTGCAGCACAAGGTAGGATTTAGCATAAGAAGCAGAGCTTAGTTACTCACTGATGTGTAATACTCCCTGTCTTTCAAGAGCTGAGGATGAAGCGGCGAGCCTCAGACAGAGGAGCTGGGGAGACATCTGCTAAGGCCAAGGCACTTTGTACAGGGATTTCTGGAAATAATGCCAAAAGAGCAGGCCCTTTCATCCTAGGTAAGCAAAGAGGGTTTTTTCATCCCCTGTGCTGTATGAGGTAGAAAGTTAATGGTTGCAAAGCTTAAGGAAAATAGTCAATAAAATGAGACAAAGCGGAATTGTAATCTAGGTTCTTGTGTCTGCCAAAATCCACTTCATCTGATGTTGACAAAGCAGCAACCCCTGAAGTTCTTGCAACTGTAAAGTTGAGGGTGATCGTAACGTGTGTATGGTGACCTTATTTTGGAACCAAAATTAGGGACATGTTAGCCATGCCCCCTGACCCTGTTAACCATGCTCCCTGACACCCATTAGCCAGGCCCCTGCCACAAGAAGTCGCACCCCAGGAGATAGTACTCCCGAGGTCAAGAGGGACACATGACCAGAGGTAAAGGGTGTTGTGTGACCCCTCTAAGAACTCCTCCCACCGCCCTTCTACCAATAGGGATTCCCCCCTCCCCCCCCAAACCCTCATGCAACTATCCTGCAATTGCATTAACCCAAATTGCATTGCATTAACTCGGGGGAGAGACGGGGGAAGTGTTCCCTCTAAGATTTTCCTCCCATGAGCGGAGTGAATTTTGTCTTGTGCACCAGTATTGAGTTCATGTGCGCTTGTTTGGATGTGTGGCACCCAAGTTACTAATAAATATCTTATCAACCTCTCCCTTTTCCCTCTGCTTACATGTCTCCCACTCTTCCCTTACCCCATCTGCTCCCCTGGTGCCTGCTGCCCTCCCCCACCCCCCTTGCTGTCCTGACTTCTGCCCTTCTCCCCTCAGCCATTTGGGGACCTGCACCAGCCCGTCTCTTTCCCCTGTGTCCACTCCTCCTCTAGCCCCACTCTGATCATCTGTAGCTACCCCTCCCCATCCCCTCTCCTAACACCTCCCTCTGCCCACCTGCCCTGCCTCTCTCCTCTGTCCTCTGGTGTCCGTCCCTCCCCTCCGTGTGTCTGCCCTTCTGCTTCACCCCCACAATCCCCTGGCACCTGCATCTTCCCTTATCCCTGCACCTTCCTGGTGCCTCCTCATTCCCTCCTTGCCCTTTTTCTCCCTGGTGCCCACCCCCTCACCACCCTTTGCCCCAGTTCTCCTTATGCCCCTGTGCCCTCACACATGACTTGCTCCATCGCCTGCTTTCCGCATGCCTACACCTCCTTTCAACCCATCTTCTCCCAGCACCTACTCCTCCCCTCTCCTCTTCCTCCCTCTTGCCCCTGTTGTCCCTCCTCTCTCCCAGTGTCACCCTGTCCCCTCCCTTCTCCCACCCTACTGACACCTTTCCTCCTGTCCCCCCTTCTTTCCTCATTGTCTCCTCTTGGCCCCTGGCATTTGTCTCTCCTCCACTCTGCCCCTTGGTGCCTTCCCCTTCCTTCTCCTGCCTTGGCCCGCCCTTCCCTCAGCATAAACCAGGACCTTGCATGGCGGAGGCAGTCCCATGAGAGGGAGGGGCCCCTTAGTGCCTGCCCCTTCCTTCTCCTTCCTTGGCCCCCCCCTTCCCTCAGCATAAACCAGGACTTTGCATGGCAGAGGCAGTCCCATGAGAGGGAGGGGCCGCACGCCACTGGAAGTCAGCCCGGCTGCCCTACTCGCCCTGCTGGAGGGAGGGGGAAGAGGGTACTGCGCCATGCAAGGAGCAATGGCATGCTGCGGTACTTCTTCCCGCAAACCAGTGTCCCCATCAAGTAGTGAAATGTCCAGTGGGGCTTTCTGGGACATTTCCCTACTTGATGGGGCACCAGGACAGCGTATTTAAATTTGGAACTGTCCTGGAAAAATCAGGACGTATGGTCAGCATATATGTGTTTAGCAGGATAGACACATGGACTTTAGGGGAACAACTGTGAGTCCCTGCTTTTATTGGTTTTGGAACTGAATATTTGAATTGTATCAAAAGGCAAGCTGTCATCTTGCTGGTGTAGGACAGGTTTCCTTAAGGAGCTTAGCCCCACTTCTCTCGGAATATGCTGCTAAATTAGTGCACACACTGTTTGTTGAAATAACACAGTGGCTGCTCTTTCCTTGGCAGGTGTCCTCTAAGCTGACCCCCTCTGTAGGTTTTGGCTGTCACTTGAATACTATCGTTTTTAAGTTATTTTGCATAATGCCAAGATCCCTGTGAAGTCCCCTGTATAAAACCTACCAGTCGGTTAAAAATGGAAGCTTCAGGGGGTACCCGAGTTAGTCATTACAAGGGGAAAAAAACCCCAAATGGTCTGGTAGCACTTCATAGACTAATAAAACATGTAGATGGTATCATGAGCTTTCATGGCCATAAAAGCTCATACCACCATCTACATGTTTTATTAGTCTATGAAGTGCTACCAGACCATTTGTTGTTAAAAATTGATTAGTCAAGATGGGGAATCATTACGGAGGGTTATTCTGGTGCATTCAGTAAACTATTAAACTGAGCAGCCCCTTAAGGAATGGCAATTAGGTTGAAGTTCAGTAGTAAGCATTCCTTGCCACAGCTGCTAATAGCAAATGTAAAAGTTATATGGCTGAGGCATGCAGAAATCTGTATCCCTATAAGAGGCAGTTGTATACTGTGGTAAGGTCTCTTCTGGGAACCAATAGAGCATTGTCCAAGGAGATTCAGAATCCTTTGGTTTAAGAGCAATATACTTTATGGGAAGAAGCCGCACAGTGCGGGCATTCATACCTTGCTGAAAAAGGAACTTGATTTAGACTTATGCAAACTGTATGACTGCTGAGTATTGACATAACATTGAATTAGTCACAGTTTCTTGAAGAAAAACAAATCTGTTCTGCTTTGTGCCGGTAGGTCCCCGGTTAGGTAACTCTCCAGTGCCAAGCATTGTTCAGTGTTTGGCAAGAAAGGATGGGACAGATGACTTCTATCAACTGAAGGTGAGCAAAATCTACTATGGGCGGATTCTCTGAGACTTTTTAACTTTTGCTTCAGCAGATGAGCTGCCTGACTCTTGGGGGAATGCAAGTCTAAAGCCCTTGTATATACTAGCGCACTGTTTTTCAAGCAATGGTAAGAGTACCCTTAGGGGTACTGGAGAGAAGTCTGGGGGGTACCTCAACGCAACTGGAATGTGGAGAAAACTGAATTTGTGTGTTAAATTTTACAGCATTTTATTATTTTTGTACTTTTTACACTCAAAAATTTCATCACCTACCCAGCTATGATTCAGTTGTACTGCAAAGGTAGAAAAAAATTGTCTGAAAACCAATTGTTTAAACAAATGTATTGCAAAGGTAGAAAAAAATTGTCTGAAAACTGTTGGTACTGGGGGTACTTTTTTTTTAAAGGGGTATTTTATTTTAAAAAAAAGGTTGAGAAACACTGTACTGGGGAATGGCAGCTGAATCTTCATGCCAACAGTTCAGCTCCACAGGCAGCAACATTGGTGCAAGAATTAGCTTTTCAGCAAAGCCTCAGTGGCCACCGCTCTGAACAGCATTAAACAGTTTCCACTAGGCTGGGGAACTAAGCCTGGTGTACTGGCAACAAAGGAGGAAAAAATCAGGGGTACTTGCAAATGGCAGCGTGTTTCCTGTGAGCTCATCAGATTCATGCTTTGTCACGCTGCACATGTGTTAGTTCAGACGCTGTGGCAAGTACATAAATCAACCACTGGTGTAATTCCATTCAGCATTTCAATGCACATGTGAATGTTTAAATTGTACAGCTGGTGCTGAAGATTTGGGAGTGGGGGACTTCAGTTTCCCCTCAAGGAATAAGGCTTCTTTTCTCTTTTCCCAAAGATCCTTACTTTAGAGGAAAGAGGTGACAAAGGAATAGAAACCCAAGAGGAGCGACAGGGCAAGATGCTGCTGCATACAGAATACTCTCTCCTTTCCCTTCTGCACAATCAGGATGGAGTGGTTCACCATCATGGGCTCTTTCAGGTACAGCTAGCCAACTCCCAGGCTCTCTGAGGACACTGGTCCTCCACTGGACCACTTCTCTGTGCAATGCACTACTCACTGTGACTTTATTGTGCATAGAGAATTACCAGCATGCAAGCCATGATTAATCAGTGCCTCTTAACACAAACAAGTGTATTGCAGAAACTATTGTGTGCTAAATGCTGATGAAATAAGACATGTGATGTATTAGATTATGAAAGGATATGGGTTTTAATGTGCACTTGAGCCAGCTTTGTGAGCATTCTGCTGCTTAACATTGAAAAGTAGCGTGAAGTACAAGAAACACGAGTGTCGGTCTGAAGAGGCTCTTCCAGTAGAGCTAGTACCTAGAATTGGGTCCACTCCAGGAAAATGGAATTGCCCCATGCCCCTTGCTTCATGTTGGAGAGCCAGCATGTGCTAATTGGCAAAGTATCTTATTTAGAATGTGATCTCTGCTTTCTAGTTCCTGAGTCAGCTTCTCCCAATTCAGCAACAGACAAGTTTCCAAGAGGCAGTTTCAACATGTTACAATAAGTTGCTAAATGTGCTAATTAGCAATTAACTATCCCTGAGTGAACCAATTGCAGGGCTGTTAACACCTCTGAAACAAGCCATCTATTGAGTCTGTGACCCACTGATAAGAGATGTTATGCCTTGTCTACACTGTCAAGATCTGTCTTGCAATAAAACCTGGAGACCATTCATGTTGCGATGGGACACACACACCCAGTTTTGGGTCCAAAAATTTTTCACCTCCACGTGGGACTTTTGTCTCTTCTCCCCTCCTTTTATTGTCGACAGTCATGTAGTTGTAGTGTGTATTATAGTAGGTGAAACAAAATACAGGACTATGTAGCACTTTAAAGACTAACAAGATGGTTTAGCAGGTGATGAGCTTTCGTGGGCCAGACCCACTTCCTCAGATCAAATAGTGGAAAAAAATATATACCAAAGGATACAATTAAAAAAATGAACACATATGAAAAGGAACAGAACAAGTAATACTCACGCGATCTCTCAACTGTCATCCATTTCTAGACCCCGACAAACAAAGACTAGGGACACCATTCCTACCCATCCTGGCTAATACACGAAAGCTCATCACCTGCTAAACCATCTTGTTAGTCTTTAAAGTGCTACATAGTTCTGTATTTTGTTTCAGCTACACCAGACTAACACGGCTACATTTCTATCTCTATTATAGTAGGGTTTTTGTCCAGTTGATTGACCTCCAGGTTCCAGCCTATTTCCCACAATGCCCAGTTAGCAACTCTGGCGACCACTTTGAACTCTGCTGCTTTGCAGCCATGTAATCAGGGGCACCCCTCCACGCTGCAATACCCAGGAAATTTAAATTCCACTTCCTCGAGTCTGGCTCGTGTAGTGGTCCTTACCGCGTCTTCTCAGGGAAACAGGTGGCTCTCGCTCAAAATACTCTTCAACTTGGAGCACTGCAGAGCTTTTGAATCTTATCAGTGTGGGGGGCGAAGAATCTGTGTATTCACAACTGCAAGTGACCCATAGGAATGGGGACATGTACAGTCACATTTCTTGAGCCCTGTGTGAGAAGAGGTATCACCGCGAGACTCTACAATGCAAAGCCAAGGTAAAGGAATTCCAGCAGGCACACAAGACAGCAAAGGCAGCAAACCGCTGGTCTGGTGCTGCACCCACAAGCTGTCATTTTTATAAAGAATTGGATGTAATCCGGGATAGGAACCCTAGGTCCACACCTGAGGAGAATGCACAGAGTCAGAGGCAGAAGTTATTGATGAACAGATGAAAGCAGATGAGGCGCTTAGGCTCAATCCAGTGCTCCAGGCAGCAAGGAATTGTTCTCAAGTTCTGATGTTTGTGAGGACTCTCAGCAACTGCATGTGGAGCATGAAGGAAGGGAACAGGGTAAGTTGCTGTGCAGGCGGGGGAGAGGGGCGGTGGGGTTGATGGCCATGTGGGGTGGTGAGTTGCTATAGTGCAGCTGGAGGGGGGGAATGGCAGCCGCCCGGGGCAGTAAGTTGCTGTGTGGGAGGGGCATGGCATGGGAAGTTGCTCTTGCAGACCCGGAGGTGTGGGGACAGGATGACCGGAGGCTGTATTTCTGTGAGCTGGCTACGCCCTGCCTGGGTCTGCGTTCTGTCCAAACAGAGCATGGATGTACACAGAGCTATCAATAGAATTTTGTTGGGAGAGGGTGTCAAAGCTTGTCCTGATTTCCTGGGGCTGCCATTTCCCCACCGCCATACTACAGTGCTCTCCCAAAACATCCTTCGTACTGTGCTGCTGGAACCAAGGTGTCACAGAATTTGGCTGCCAGGTGTCCCCCACTTGCATCCAGAAGCTGAGCCCAGGTTTGCCTGTTAACCATCAGCAGGGTAATGGCAGCCTGTCGACAAGTGTAGGATTATTACAAATTGTTTCCATGTACACCTGCTGCCCAAGCACAGACTGTACTTTCTTGGGGACCCCATGCCCAACCTTCCTCTCTTCCCCCCCCCACCCCTCCGCCCCACCTTTAAGACTTATCATGATCAGTGTATCTAGTGAGATCTGTTTGCCTCTAGGGCAGTGGTTCTCAAAGTGCAGTCCACAGACCACTACCTTACCGGTGGCCCACGGCTCAAGTCCAGCTCCCCCTTCCCCCATGCAGCGGGCCGCCT